CCCTCCGCCCGGCCGGGACGGCTCGGCCACCTCGCCTCCGCGCTTTTTATTGTTTACTGTTTAAAATCGATCTGAGCAGTGCTGGTGCGTCTCTTCCAGCCCCGTCCTGTCCCTTTAAGCAGCAGTTACTCTGCAGAAGCTCAATAAAGTCGATGCTGTGAAACTGACGTCTTGTTTCTTGATGGTCAGTTGGTGTGGAATGCACCTTGTCTGAGAGTCGTGCTTTAAAAATAATTCAGAGAGAAAGAAAGAGATGGAGTACATTATGGCCCGTAAAGGAAACCCCGAATGTCTCCTGATGCATTAAGGTGAAGTTTTCTTCTTTAAGAGACTGCTCTTCAACACGCATCATGGCAGCAACATGCCCCTTAGGCTTACGGTTTTCAGTCTCATCTCATGTATTCATTTCTCTCGAAATAAATTTAATACATCTTGCACTTCCGTTTTGAAGGGGACTTGTTTGGACATTTGGTTTTTAACTTTTATTAAGTCGCAGTCCCTTCTCGTTGGTTACAGATACTAGATTTGAAAATTAACATTTGCTCCTTGCCAGCAATGTATATCCTTGATTGCCTTTAGAATAATACAGTGAAAGTATAGGCTTCAGCACCATGATGATGTGACTTGGGCAAACTTTGATTTTGATAAACTTGTAAAATAAAATAATTTGTCTTTGGTGGCAAGATTTAGCAGTAGTAATACTCTGATATGTAAATGTATAGGGTTTTTTTTTTTACGAATATCTAGAAGTCTTTAATACCATTTAAGTTTATTTTTATAGGAGTAAAGTCTGATTTTATTTTATTTTTTTCATAAAAAGACATATCTTGTTAAGTCATTACAAGGTGATCTAACTTTGGATGTGCTTATAGGCCCATGGGACGTGCATGTGCACAGTGATTTGGCAAAGGACCTAGGTTAGTGCTTGTGATGATCACTTCAGATTTTCATACTACTAGTTTCTTTAAGAGTAGTTTGTGTGTTAATTTTATTTATTTATTTGTTTTGTTTTTTTTTTGGTAGATGAAAATGAAGTTGAAAGACCAGAAGAAGAAAATACCAGGTTAGTGAGATTTCTTGTTGATACTTAACACAGATCCTGTGATACAGTGGTTCTATCAACAAATTGTTAAAATTATTTCATTATAATCGTGGGTTTGATTACACTTTGACTAAAGGTTGGAAGACATCGAATCTTTGGGAGTTTATTCCTATTTCAGGACCTAATCTTATGTATACCAGCCTGTTTATTTGCTAGTAGCTGAAGGGACAAAGATTTTGAAGTAAGGGTTTAAATACTTTTCAGTGTTAAGTAACTTTTTATTTTTAAGTGGAGTATACAGTATATCCATTAAGACTTAAGAAAAAACTTTAAAAAAATTTTTAAAATACATAATCTTAAATTACAGTGAATATTTATGATGGTGTAATGCATTTTGGTTATAATTTCAGCATTTTGTATTTAAATACAAAGTAGAATTAATGAACTTGGCACAAGTTTAGTTCCCTTTTTTAGGTGACTAGAAAAGTATGAGTATCGTTTATAGAACATGTCCAGGGAGCCAGAAACTGAATTCTAAATTTCAAAGCAGCTTATGCATACAAGTGAATGGGTATGCTGACATTACTCTGACCAGAGCCTTAGTGTTCTACAATGAGCAAGGGGTGGTTAAAAACAAACGGCTTTTAGAGAATATTTGTTTTTAATAAGTGCGGGAAATAGTACTTCACATCCACCGGGATGGCTGTAATAAAGACAGCAGCAGGTGTTGGTGAGGATATGGAGAAATTGGAATCCTCATACACTGATGGGATTGTAAAACGGTGCAGCTACTTTGGGAAACAGACTGGCAGTTTTTTAAAAGATTAAACACAGAGCCACGATATGATTTAGGATTACCAATCTTTGTTCTGTACCTTAAGAGAAATGAAAACATACATCTACGCAAAAACTTGTACTATAGATTCTCACTTAACATGTCGATAGGTTCTGCAGATTTAAGTGAAACTACCTTTAACGAGACCAATTCTGCCATACGCTAATTGGTATAAACAAAGTTATGTTCCTAAGCATCTCATCAACGTTACAACAAAACGACGTTCAGTGAAAGGATGTTATTCGGGCACCTTCTGTACATGAGTACATAGCGTTATTCATAGTAGCCAAAAAATGGAAATAACCAGTGTCCATCAAATAATGGATAGATAAATGTGGTATATTTATACAGTGGAATACTATTTGACAGTAAAAGGAAATGAAGTATTCGTGTGTTACAACATTGGTGAATCTTGAAAACATGCTAAGTGAAAGAAGCCAGTCACAAAGGACTGCATATTGTATAACTTTATTTATATTAAATGGACAGAATATGTAAATTCATAGGGATACCAAGTAGTTAGTGTTGCCCAGATTGAGTACAGGGCAAAATGGGAGTGACTAATATATACAAGATTTTTTTGGAACAGGGGCGTGATGAAAATGTTCTGGGATTAGATAGTTGTTATTGTTGCACTGTTGTGTAAACATACTAAAAACCATTGAGTTGCACATTTGAAATGAGTGGATAGTGTGGTGTATGTATTATATCTCAAAGCTGTTACTTGAATACAAGTGAGTGGAGAGACAAAGTGAGGGGTATAAATAGAAATAGCTTTGGGGGTGATGAAATTAGTCTATTCTTCCTCACTTAAAACTATCCCTTATATCGGAAGATATTAAAAAAAAAACACTCATTGCTATATTTGAAATTTTATCATCTGGCTTTTAAATGTATGTATTCAACCCAGTTTCTAATGCTAATCTTAACCGAAAAGTAAGGATTTGTGTAACTTATAATTTGGAAAGTAATTAAATATTTCTTTATACCCTGTTTTTCAGTTAGTTAAGAAATTAATTGATAGACCTTTTTGTGAGCTAATTTTTATTTCATTCATTTTTGTTAATATCAGTTTTTGGCTATAATTTTTTTTTAATTAAATCTTTATTGTTCAGATTATTATAGTTGTTCCTCTTTTTTCCCCCCCATAGCTCCCCTCAACCCGGTTCCCACCCCACCCTCTGCCCTTACCCTCCCCCCACAATGTCCTCATCCATAGGTGTATGATTTTTGTCCAGTCTCTTCCTGCACCCCCCACACCCCTTTCCCCCCGAGAATTGTCAGTCCACTGTTCTGCAGATTTAAGTGAAACTACCTTTAACGAGACCAATTCTGCCATACGCTAATTGGTATAAACAAAGTTATGTTCCTAAGCATCTCATCAACGTTACAACAAAACGATGTTCAGTGAAAGGATGTTATTTGGGCACCTTCTGTACATGAGTACATAGCATTATTCATAGTAGCCAAAAAATGGAAATAACCAGTGTACATCAAATAATGGATAGATAAATGTGGTATATTTATACAGTGGAATACTATTTGACAGTAAAAGGAAATGAAGTATTCGTGTGTTACAACATTGGTGAATCTTGAAAACATGCTAAGTGAAAGAAGCCAGTCACAAAGGACTGCATATTGTATAACTTTATTTATATTAAATGGACAGAATATGTAAATTCATAGGGATACCAAGTAGTTAGTGTTGCCCAGATTGAGTACAGGGCAAAATGGGAGTGACTAATATATACAAGATTTTTTTGGAACAGGGGCGTGATGAAAATGTTCTGGGATTAGATAGTTGTTATTGTTGCACTGTTGTGTAAACATACTAAAAACCATTGAGTTGCACATTTGAAATGAGTGGATAGTGTGGTGTATGTATTATATCTCAAAGCTGTTACTTGAATACAAGTGAGTGGAGAGACAAAGTGAGGGGTATAAATAGAAATAGCTTTGGGGGTGATGAAATTAGTCTATTCTTCCTCACTTAAAACTATCCCTTATATCGGAAGATATTAAAAAAAAAACACTCATTGCTATATTTGAAATTTTATCATCTGGCTTTTAAATGTATGTATTCAACCCAGTTTCTAATGCTAATCTTAACCGAAAAGTAAGGATTTGTGTAACTTATAATTTGGAAAGTAATTAAATATTTCTTTATACCCTGTTTTTCAGTTAGTTAAGAAATTAATTGATAGACCTTTTTGTGAGCTAATTTTTATTTCATTCATTTTTGTTAATATCAGTTTTTGGCTATAATTTTTTTTTAATTAAATCTTTATTGTTCAGATTATTATAGTTGTTCCTCTTTTTTCCCCCCCATAGCTCCCCTCAACCCGGTTCCCACCCCACCCTCTGCCCTTACCCTCCCCCCACAATGTCCTCATCCATAGGTGTATGATTTTTGTCCAGTCTCTTCCTGCACCCCCCACACCCCTTTCCCCCCGAGAATTGTCAGTCCACTCCCTTT